GGGCATGTCATTCGTATGAATCCAAAATAATTTCAAATAAAAGTTTAGTTAAATAGGGGCTGGAGAGGTGGCTCAGTGGCTAAGAGTTCAGACTCCTCTTACAGAGGACCCGAGTTTGATTCCTAGCACCTTTGTTGGTTTTCTCATAACCGCCTACTAATTGCAGCTCCAGGGGAATCTGATGCCTCTGTGGATACCTACACTGATGTCACTAGTAAAATAAGTGTTAATAATATCAAAATAACTTATATTTGAAAACTGGAGTCAAAACTCAAAAGAGTTATAGAAAGAGGTAGTACATGAAGTTTTTAGAAGATTGTATTTAAATTAGGCCAGAGTCTACTTTAGTGAAGTATGAAAATGGGATTAAAATGATTTTACATACTTATGGAAAAAGAATTTCTATTCTCTTGATTTCTGGCACTGCAGTGAAATTTTCTGAAAATGGAATTTTAGAAAAATGAAAAAGTGATTACTTTCTCATGTTAATTCAATGTTTTCCTTTCAATTTTTCTGTTGTCGATGTTTATTTTGGATGCTGGTTATCTAATCGTAATAGCTAGAACATAGGAAAGAAACAATCTTTTCATTTACTTTACAAACTTGACATCATGGAGGGTGGTACTGTAGGGAGTCACCAGAGAACCTGGGAAGAACATTGGTTTTGACCTAGCCTAGAACCCTAGGCCTTCCACTTTCTGTGATGAACCTGGACAAGTTCTTAACCTCTCGAGAGAAGCTTTTCATTGGGTCCAATGGTTGTTGAGAAGACTGACTGAAATAAAGTGTATAATATATTTGTATGGAGAAGACTTTTGGACAGCTCATCCAGGTTTCTACAGACAAGTATTGGAAAAATAGTTCTAAAAAGTCGTATGTTTGAATATTCTGGCCATTCTTGTGTTCTTACTACACCGTAACATTGTTTTAACTTTCAGATGGAGAGAAGAGACACGGAGGGCAAGAGGGATCTGTGCAGTGTCTGAATGAGTTCTGAGGCAGTCACATGTCTTCCAGAGAAAGAACAACTTTGCAGCAATGTGTAACGCAAATTCTAATTGTTCTTAATAAAAACCTGGAGTCAGATGTAGGGGGTAATATTGAAGATCAGAGAAGCAGAGAGGTCAGCCACGAGAGAGTTCTTTTACCTCTATCAATGCTCAGACAGAAGGGGTGATCCTGTCCTCACACTGCATCTCCAGACTCCATCTGTCTCCACCAAACCTCAGACTGCACTAACTCCTGTCTCCTTCAGTCTTATATTCCTCTCTCCACCCAGTCATATTGCTCCTGTCTCCATCTCCCCAGTGCTGGGATTAAAGGTGTGTGATCCCAAGTGTTGGGATCGCGTTTGTGTGAGCTCTATTTCTCATTCAGTCAGATTCAATCTTGTGTGGCCCAGGGTGGCTTTGAATTAACAGAGATTCCTCTGCCTCTCCTAAGTCCTTGGATTAAAGGTGTGTGTCACCACTCCCTGACCTCTAGAAGTTTAGCTCTGCGCTCTGACCTTCAGACAGGCTTTTGTTGGGGAATATTATTTTAAGTTGTGTTACTTTTGTTTATGCTGTGGAAATTTGTTTAATGATGTAAAGATATGTTGCTTTTGTTTATGCTGCATTTGTATAACTCAGTGAAGCTGTGATTCTAAAACGCCTAATGGTTTAATAAAGAGCTGAACAGCCAATAGTGAGGCAGGATCAAGGATAGGAGGGGCTGGCAGGCAGAGACAATAAATAGAAGGAGGAGCAAGAGAACAAGGAGAGGAGGATATCAGGAGCCAGCTGCCCAGCTACACAACAAGCCATAGAGGAAGAAGAAAGGTGTACAGAACTAGAAGATAAAAGCCCAAGGCAAGCCGGGCGGTGGTGGCGCACGCCTTTAATCCCAGCACTTGGGAGGCAGAGGCAGGCGGATCTTTGTGAGTTCGAGACCAGCCTGGTCTACAAGAGCTAGTTCCAGGACAGGCTCCAAAACCACAGAGAAACCCTGTCTCAAAAAACCAAAAAAAAAAAAAAAAAAAAAAGCCCAAGGCAAAAGGTAGTCCGTATGATTTAAGTTAAGAAAAGCTGACAAGAAACAAGCCAAGCTAAGACTGGGCAGTTATAACCAAGAAGAAGCCTGCCGGGTGGTGGTAGCACACGCCTTTAATCCCAGCACTCAGGAGGCAGAGGCAGGCGGATCTCTGTGATTTCGAGGCCAGCCTGGTCTACAAGAGCTAGTTCCAGGACAGGCTCCAAAACCACAGAGAAACCCTGTCTTGAAAAACAAACAAACAAACAAACAAACAAAAACAAAAAAAAAGAAAAAAAAAGAAAGAAGGAAAGAAACCAAGAAGAAGCCTATGTGTGTGATTCATTTAAGAGGTGGTGGCAGGCACCCCAAAAAAGTCCAAAGAATAAAACATTATACAACAAGATTTATTTGTTAAAACCATAAAATATCACTACAGAGTTGCACTAATGGTAGCCATACATACAACTGAACAGTTATTCACCTGCCTTTTTTTTTTTTGGCTTTTTGAGAGGTTTCTTTGTAGGTTTGGAGCCTGTCATGGAACTAGCTCTTGTAGACCAAGCTGGCCTCAAACTCAGAGACATCCACCCGCCTCTGCCTCCTGGATGCTGGGATTAAAGGCGTGTGCCACTAATGCCCAGATTCACCTGCTTTGTTCTGAGGGAACACACTGATGGGGTAATTGAATTGCCTCTTTTATTTTGTTGGCATTGTGTTTCACCTCATGATTTCTATATGAAAATTTCAAAATCTCCCCCTTTCAGGATGGCAGCTAAAAAAAAACTATAGAAGCTTGTGTTTTTTTTTTTTTCTATTTTGTGCTCTCTCTCTCTTTTTTAAAAACAAGGTCTTACCATGTCGCCCAGGCTGGCCTGGAACTCTCTGTGTTCTGCTTACTTCTGTATGTCAAATGCTAGGATTAAAGAAATGTATTGCCACATCAGGCACAAGAACTGTACTTTTTATTTGGGTGACCCTGTACATTAAAATACAGGTTATAGGACTGAAAAGATGGCTCACTGGCTTAGAGCACTTGTTGCTCTTGTAGAGGACCAGGGTTCTATTCCCAGCACCCACACTGTGTGGCTCACAACCATCCATAACTTCAGTTCCAGGGGTTCGGACATCCCCTGCTGGCCTCTAGGGGCACCAGACACTCATATGGTACATATACATGCACACAGGCAAAACAGTCATAAAACAATTCTAAAAAATTTTAAAAAAGGATACAAGTTATAGAACTGTAGGCCAAATCATTATTATTATTTTTTTCTTTTTGGTTTTTCGAGACAGGGTTTCTCTGTAGCTTTGGAGCCTGTCCTGGAACTCCCTTTGTAGACCAGGCTGGCCTCGAACTCACAGAGATCCGCCTGCCTCTGCCTCCCAAGTGCTGGGATTAAAGGCGTGCACCACCACCTCCCGGCCAAATTATTTTTAGTAAAGAACTATGGAATAAAAATCTCGGTGATTTTGGTGACCTAAGAGCTTTGTGCTTGCTGAGTAAGTGCTCCGCTACCGTCCTGCACCTCCAGAAAATCCAGATCTTCACACGACACAGCACACTTCTTGACATTCGAGGGACTGAATATGTAAATCGGACTTTCTGTTTTCACTTGGATATATTCCTAGTTTAAGAATTTTAGGCGTTGCCGGGCGGTGGTGACGCGCGCCTTTAATCCCAGCACTCGGGAGGCGGAGGCAGGTGGATCTCTGTGAGTTCGAGGCCAGCCTGGTCTACAAGAGCTAGTTTCAGGACAGGAACCAAAAAGCTACGGAGAAACCCTGTCTCGAAAATTAAAAAAAAAAAAAAAAAAAAAAAAGAATTTTAGGCGTTAATTCCTTATGGTGACTTCATCAGTCCCTGTTTTTGTTTAACAGTTTTAGAGTTTAACAGACTTTGCAGAGCATGTATGTGCCCTTTAAAAGTATTTTCTTATTTATTTGTTTATTTATTTATTTATTATGTATACAGTATTCTCAGTACTCTGCCTGCAAGCCAGAAGAGGGCACAGATCTCATTACAGATGGTTGTGAGCCACCATGTGGTTGACTGGGAATTGAACTCAGGACCTTAAGGCTGTGCTCTTAAAAACTGAGCCATCTCTCTAGCCCCCCTTCCCCTTTAAAAGTCTTTAAGCTCCTACTATCTTGCGTCAAGATTGAGTGTGTTCTGTCACCCTTCCTTTGTCCTGGATGGTCATTACAAACTGTCATATAATTCATAGATTTTTGGCTATTTTAGGTACAGAGATTGCCAATTTCTGACCATATGTTGAACATTTCAGTAATTAAGAGTACAGTTTTACTTATCAAAGTACTTTAGTTTATATGAAACACGGTATTCGAGTTTTTCCATGTCTAAAGCATATTATAAATGCTCATATCATAGCAGTAGAAATAGTTCCCCTTAAATATCAATTTAAAATGTTCAGCATCCTTTTGAGGTCTGGAATGTCACCTCTCAGTTTCTAAGTTCCACAGACACAAGGATGGCCCTCTGTGTACCTCAGTGTTGGTGCCTGAGGATGCAGACTCAGGAAAAGGTTCCAGATCGGGAATGACAGAATTGTAAAGGGCTTTTGACCAGGGGGTTGAGAGTAAGAGACCGTTTACGAGGTTGTATTTTGGTGAAACTGTCCGAGGAAAACATTCATGTTAGAAATTCTGCTTGTCAGGCGGTTTACGCGTGAGTTGGCTGGGCTGCGGCTGGATGTTTTGCGTGTGACTAACCACGTGAGGCGCCGAATCACATTCCGGCCGCGGCCAGGGGCAAGGCGGCACCTCGAGGCCTCAGCGACAACCCAAACCGGAATAACCTGTTGCGGGTCCTCCGGCTCCGGGGAACGCAAATCAGCTTCCCAGCCACCCAGGTCCGCGTCCCCGCCTGCTAGCCAGGCGCCTGGCGCTTGACAGGATGGCAATCACGTGACAGCCGCAAAGCACCGCTTTGCGACCTCGATGACAAGCAAAATGTGCGACAGCTCTGGCCCTGGCCAACCAGGGGCGGAGGCGGCGACCGGGGAGGAAGCGGAGGAGGCGGAGGCGGCTGTGGCGTTGGCCCGCCTGCTCGTTCTCTCGCTTTCCCCGCCCCCGCCGGGCTAGCCGCGGCTGAAGGGAGCCGGGCGCGCGCTGTCGCAGCCTGTCCTCCTCCCGGCCGGCGACGGAAGGACCAGCTCGGCATCGAGACCAGCCTCCCCGTCCCGGCGGCTGCAGCCAGGGCTCCGCGGGGCGCAGGCGGGCGCAGGGCGGCTGAAGGTTACCGAGTGCATGAGCACCTAGCCTCCCGCGCCACCCCGCCCGCCCGCCGGCCCTCCCGCCGGCTCTCCCGCCAGTCCCTCGCCACCCGGCGGCGGCTGCCTGTGTGGCCGCAGGAGGCGCCGTCTCGCTCCCAGGTGCGCGCTTCGTTCCCGGAGCCGCGGAGCTCGGCGGCCGCCATGGCGTCCAACATGGACCGGGAGATGATCCTGGCGGATTTTCAGGTGAAGTGTCTGGCTCTGCTCGCTTCCCACCTCCAGTTTGGCCGCTTCGGGGTGGCGGCGCGGTGGCCTCTTCCTCAGCGTTTGTGTGAACACCGCAATGGTTGTAATGTGGGCTTTTCTACCCAGCGTGGCACAGGGTGTGTGTATATTGTGAACCATGGGGAACATGTATTTCATATGCTGTGTTTTGTGGGTGTGTGTAGAACGTGTTGAGTGAGGTTGAACGAGAATTTTAGGTTTGGGGATGCTATGATTTGGGGGTTACTATGTATGTGGGCTCTTTCTTAGTTTTATGAGGAATGTGTAGAATATGGGGTTAATTATGGGGTGTTTGGGTTGTTCCATGAGGATGCTGATGTGTGTGTTGCTATGGGTGTGGTGTATTGTATGAAGTGGTGAGTGAACAGGCAGCGTGATGAGGAGGTGATGAGGCTAGCTGGGCTGTGTGGTCCTGTTCAAGGAGGGGTAAACAGTTGAGACTCCGCAGGCCTTGCTGGAATCTTTGGAGGGTGGGAAAAAAAGAGGCTGCTGTGCAGTGTGTTCTGATGGATCTTTGCACTGAACACACACACTTAATAACCCCTTCATATTTGCAGATTCCCCTCCCCTACAGACTTGAATCTTTCTTAGACAGTGTCTCCAGGCTGGCATCTAATTTGTTTGGAGTCCTTTCCTCAGGAGTTCATTTAAACTAAAGATTATTCCCTTACTGAACCCTTCTGTAGTGACACTAGCATGTAAGTATCTTAGGGAAACCCTTCCAAAGTAGACCTTTGTGTGCCTGGAAAGATTCGGGGTTATAAACAATAGCTTGTAAATGTTTTCTTTGTCCTTTGATAGTTACTGAAGAAAATATCTTAGTGCCACACACACACCGTTTGGCATTGCATTTGTCAAATATGGGTAGACTTTTTTGCCAACGTTGGCATTACTACACAGTCTCTATGGGTATTACTTTTCTATTTAATGTTCTGATGATCATTTTCCAAGAATTTGCTCCTTTTCCTTCTCTAGTATCTATCTGGTTCACTAGGAATATGCTTGTATGTACATTTTGACTGTTCTGCAACCTGCAAACTCAGAAAGGATGGTTTTAAAAAGAAGAGATGGTCATGGAATTTTGGCATTTGTAGGCTCTAGAATAGCTCGAGGTCTTTCATCTTTCTTAGACAGGGTCTCCCTTTGTAGCCCAGGCTGGCATTTAATACAGCCTTCCTACCTCAGCTTCCCGCAGTACTGGGATTAAAATTGTCATCCACCGTGTCCCCTTCTTAGATGTAGTTTTACCCAATTTGTGTTTTGATGGGAAAGGCTCTGGACAGCAACACATAGTATAATTTACCCTAGCCCTAATGCGATTATAACTTTAATTTTAAAAACTTCGAAAACCTCTAATAACTTGTAGCTGTCTTCCGTCATCTGCCAGTCACTATGCTTACTTGATTTTATTTTTGAGGCAGAGTTTCAAGATATATGAATACACACACACACACACACACACACACATATCATATGATTGACTCTCTGGGGTTGGGATTACAGGAGTGTATGGCACCACACCTGGCTCACGATTAACTCTTATATTAGTTAAAGGATAGAAAATCTAGGGTCCTTGTTCTCTGAGGTAGAGGAATATTTTTGAGGCATTAAGACTTTTGGTTTGGAAATCAAAATGACTATATTGATAATTCTTAAATTTCAATAACATTTTCTTTCCCAGTCTTTCTTTACCTTTGAAAGATGGTTTATTTTTTTATTATTTTTTTATGGTGAAAAAGTGTATATTTAGAATTAGCTAGCTGGACTCAGTCTGGATGATCCCAGTTTTGTCGGCATGACAATCAGGAGCCAGCCAAACATACGCCTTCTTCTCTCCATGAGGCCTTATGAGGGTGTTGACTTGGCCACATCAGTGTCGTAGAGTTTCTTCACAGCTTGTTTGGTCTGGTGCTTGTTGGCCTTGATGTCCAAAATGAACACAGTTGTGTTGTTGTCTTCTGTCTTCTTCGTGGCTGACTCAGTGGTCAGGGGAATTTGATGATGGCATAGTGGTCAAGCTTGTTCCTCCGGGAGCATTTAGGCTGCCTTCGTAGCCTCAGGGTCTTGGGCCACCAGAAGGTGGGTGATGGAAGGTGGGTGATTTGCTGATCTTTTTGTGGCTGTGGACGCCTTTCAGCACTGCCTTGGCTTTCAAGGCCTTCCCTTTAGCTTTGGCTTTGGGAGGGGCAGGAGCTTCCTTCTTTGCTTTTGGTGCCATCTTGGTTAAAAGGAAAAATGGCCGTTGGATTGTACCCAAGGCCTTGTGAATGCTACGCAAGAGCTCTCCACTGGTTTCCATTTATTTATTTATTTTGGTTTTTCTAGACAGGGTTTCTCTGTGGTTTTTTTGGAGCCTGTCTTGGAACTAGCTCTTGTAGACCAGGCTGGTCTCGAACTCACAGAGATCAGCCTGCCTCTGCCTCCCGAGTGCTGGGATTAAAGGCGTGCGCCACCACCGCCCGGCTGGTTTTCATTTCTTTTTTTTTTTTTTTGGTTTTTTTTGAGACAGGGTTTCTCTGTGGTTTTGGAGCCTGTCCTGGAACTAGCTCTTGTAGACCAGGCTGGTCTCGAACTCACAGAGATCCGCCTGCCTCTGCCTCTCGAGTGCTGGGATTAAAGGCGTGCGCCACCACCGCCCGGCCTGGTTTTCATTTCTTACAAAAAGAATGATATTGGAATGGTCTTATAGGCCAGTGATATATTGTGCACTTTGGAAAATATAATTGGAAAAAATACTAATGGCATTTGGTGTGAACAATTTTCATATTAAAAGTTTATTTAGAAGACTGTGTACTTTAAGCACATTAATCCTTTGTGTGTTTAGGACTTGTGATCCTCTTACTAACTAAATATCACATTATTTTGTTTGTTTAGTCTTTTTTACTGATCATTGTAGTCTTCTGTATTGTAGGTCTTTTTAGTATTTAAAAATAAGCAATTTAGCTGGGCAGTGGTGGCCCATGTCTAGACTTGGGAAATTAGCTGAGTGGTGTGTGAGTGGTGGTAGGTAGAGTGATGCCTAGCCTAGCATGTGTAAGGCCCTAGGTTTGATACAAAGATGCCTGTGCACACATATACATGTACACTCAAACATAAGACATGACATATAAATTGCTGGGTAATCTTTGTTTAATTGAATACCTTCCCAAAGTGAATATAGTAAAATTATATCTTATTTCATGTACTTGTGAGAATCACTAGTACTATAAGAAGCTAGCATGCCTGCGTAGAAAGGACACAATTTTGAATTAAATTTGAAGAATATTTGCACTTGCTTGTTTAGTGTTGTTGTTTACAATAGCCAAAATATGGAACCTATATAGATATTTTATTTGTGTTTTAATAAATAAAGCTTGCCTGAAGATCAGAGTTCAGATCTAAGCCACTAGAGGTCAGGGAGTGGTTTTGTACCTTAAGTCCCAGGACTCAAGGCCACCCTGGGCTGCAGGAGGTTGACTCTCTCTAAAAAGAGAAATAGGTACTCACACAAAGGTTTTCCCAGTACTCTGGAGTCACTACCCTTAATCCCAGTACTAGAGAGGTGGATGCAGGAGTGGTATGGTTGCTCCGAAACAGGTATGTAAGGCAGGAGGAGATGAGAGCCTGGGGCAGTCTGAGGTCTGGTGGAGAGCATTGCAGTCTGCAGTCAGGCTGAGGTTAGGGTTGCCCCTTTGTTTGTCTGAGCCTTGGTAGAGGTAAGAACTCTCTAGTGGCTTGGCTGCTTTGCTTTTCTGATCTTCAGCTTGGACTCTAATATCTGTCTCTGGGTTTTGTTATTCGTGCTGCAGGAACCAGCCTAGCTGCCCATGAGTGTCTGAAAAAGAAGGAAATGTGGTGTACCAGTGGAGTTTTAGTACCTTTAAAAAGAATGAATTGAAAAAAGAAGTTAAGCTGGGCGGTGGTGGCGCACGCCTTTAATCCCAGCACTCGGGAGGCAGAGGCAGGCGGATCTTTTATGAGTTCGAGGCCAGCCTGGTCTACAAGAGCTAGTTCCAGGACAGGAACCAAAAGCTACGGAGAAAACCTTTCTCGAAAATTAAAAAAAAAAAGTTAACTCACTTTGAGACTATTATGTTGGACAAAATAAGACAGATTCAGAAATGCAAATATCGCCTGTTTTCTCTAATATGGAGAATTTATAGGCATCTATGTTTATGTGTACATGCATACCATGAGATGAAAGAAGGACTATTTATGTGGTAGACAGGGACCTCCATTGAGAGGAGGGAAGGAGGGACAAATGTCTGTTGAGGAGGGAATATAGGCAAAGTCCAGTGTATGAGATTGTCAAGATGAAACCCATTGTTTTATGTGCTAATTGAAAAAATTGGAAAGGTTCTGGAAGAAATTATGATTTCATTAAGTTATATAAAGTTTAGTGAAGTTTTGGGAAAAAAGTCCTTCAATTGAAACTTTTACATGCATTTGAGTATTTTCTTTTTTAATTTTTGTACTTATTTAATTATGATTATATGACATGAAGAAGGAAATTATATTTTAACAAGTCCAATGAAGAAAGCCTTTCTAAAATTCTTCCATTTTCTTTTGGGGAAAAAAAAAATCCAGATTTTGATCATTGCTGGATAATATAAGTATAATGTCTAACTATAAAAAGCTTTTGGGAAAGGAGTTTTGATCTTTTTTGTTTGTTTTTGTTTTGGGTTTTTCGAGACAGGGTTTCTCTGTGGCTTTGGAGCCTGTCCTGGAACTAGCTCTTGTAGAACTGGCTGGCCTCAAACTCATAGAGATCCGCCTGCCTCTGCCTCCCGAGTGCTGAGATTAAAGGTGTGCGCCACCACTGCCCAGCTTTGATCATTTTGCTTAAAGAGAAAATGCTTCTTTTGGAATCAGTGAAATATTGCTAAGTAGTGGGTAGAAGATTATAGTTCATACTTACAGGGAGAGGATTGGGACATTGTGGATAGGTGAACTTAATACAAAATAAATTGTCTCCTAATTCC